AATGTCTGTGTAAACGAAATGAGTTAAGAGTAATAGAGCAGAAAGGGATTAAATTATTTAAAAATAAAGAATTTCAGATTCTTACAGATGTAAAAGATTCTAACAATAAGATTGCCACTGACTTGTTTGATGTAAATAAACGCAACACTAAAGGAAATTCATTGGCATAAGAGAAAATTGAAGATATCAAAGAATATCAAAAACAAGTCATCTCGTAATTAATGAGGGCGTTGAAAACTAAGGTCAACTACTTATACATAAAGAATGACGGTCAACTGTGTACAAAACGCAATGTAGAGCCAATATTCGCATTAATAATGCACTTTCGTTGTCGTACATTTCCATAAGTAATGCAAAAGTAAAAACATATATAAAGATATTGAAAATACTTTGTATGATTAAAACTTCACGAATCTTGCTTTTAGAGAACTTTATGATCGTTAATCGCATTAATTTATTACCTGCGGACAATATTTAATCACATTCGGTAATAAATCGGACAACTTGTCTGCGTTGGATTTTAGGACCTGATATGGATTTGATTCTTCCGCAATCGATCGATCGGCAACGATCATTACTATTTTTGCCCCTCCGAGAGTATGCTCGAGACTTTTGTCGGGATAATTACACGTGCTCACTTTGCACCTTGTGTCAATATAATTTAAATCCAGTGCGAGACCATAAGTACATTTATTATCGAAGATTGCCAATTCGTCGATCAGAGATGATTGTTTTAGAAATAACGAGAGACAAGTTCCTACAGCGTAACACTACTAATTATCATTATAAAACGTGGCAAAATAAACTGACCGTAACCTAGAGTAATTACCCGTCTTGCTAGCAGCCCCCAGAATAGCTATTTTCATGGACTTGGAAGAGAAGGAATTAGTTTGTATTCTAAAAATTTTACTAGCATTTCTCTTAATCGAGAAGCGAGAAAATCTCCCGTATAAGATACGTGATGTCAAATTTCGAGATCTACGAAATATATTTGATGAAAACATATTGTTAGATTGTCACTACATTTTACAAAAGAACCCAAAATATTAAACAAGATAAAGTTCTTATTTATTTGTAAATAAGTGTCTACTTCGTGCCATACAAAATAATCGTAATGCCCTCTTTTGTACTCGTCACAAATACATTTCGGACGATAGAAAATCATTCTCACAATAATAATAATTTATGTTAATTTTAACCATATTCGTATGCACCTTTTTGATAGGTTTATAACCATTTTTTTTTGTCTATTCATCCGGTGATGTATCATCTGGTTTATCATTGTAATAACACATAAGACATGGGATATAATAGTCTTCAACTATACCGCAAGCGGCAAAACGTTCCCTTTCATCCGGGATACCATTTTCCGTAAGGGTTAAATCAAGATGTATGTCCTTCCCTTCGAACTTCCATGTATAAGACATTCCGTTTGCATTATAAATGAGAGCACGTTCTTGAATGCGCCTGATAGAATCTTCTTCGCAAACCTTAGCAAAATCTTTTGTTAACACATCGATCACAAGCTTTTCGTTATTCTAGCGAAATGAAAAATTCTACCATTATAACAACTTGTGTGCCGGTTAGAGTATTTAAAATTCTACATGGTCTTGCGTTTTTGGTTAAGTTTCCCTTTCTATATTTTTCGTCAAGCCACCAAGGGCATTTATTTAACGGACGCCAGGTAGTCGTGGGTACCACGGAGGACGTAACATCCGGTATCGGACCATGAGGACAATACGGTACTAGCACACCCGTAACGGGATGCACGTGATACCTAATATCATTCTTTTCGTGATCAAACCAATGACTTATATCTTTGCCGGCATAAGCTAATATCGGTTTAATCTCTCTCGTATTGGCCCAATCTTTACAAAGCTTCGTTAAATCGTATACTCCGCCAAGATAGGATACCCAACAATCGACCTGTGTATTATGCAGCGCGACTTCCGTCGGTAGAAAGTATTTACCCTCCCCATATGTGTTATCCTTAAAAGTGTTAACAATTTTATCCAATATATTTTCTTTTTGAAAAAATTGATTCACCGATGACATTTTAAATAAACTGATATATATTCGTTTTACTTTTTGGAATACGTCGTAAACGATTTTCATTTGAAAATGTTGTTACGTTATACGTAATA